TCCATGAGCTCTCCGTCCTCCTCTGCTCTGGGCGTCCACGTTTAGTTCTTCCTCACGTCTCCCCAGCTGTCCTGCTCCCGGCCCTCTCTCCCACCAGATCCCCAGGAGGCTGGCCTCTCTGCTCTGCTCTGGGGCTTGTGCCTCGAGGCCGAGGGGCCAGGTCTCACCAGGGCGGGATTCGAGCGGGGTTGTCCAGCTGCTTGAGGTTGAAGGCATGCTTAGACACCTGCCGTACTTCCCCGTCCCAGGCCTGGATCTCCTGCTTGCGGGAGGCCGAGTCGGCCGACAGCAGAGCCTCCACTGCACTGGTCACCTGGGGAGAGAGAGGGTCAGAGACAGTGCCCAGCCCCCAGCCCCCAGCTCCGCTAGCACTTGGTCTTTAGCTTTCTCAGTGCTCGCCCTAAAATCTCGGGGAGGGTGGGAAAATGTTCATACCCGATCTCTGACAAACTCAGGCAGTCCCCCCAACCCATCCCGGGCAATCTCCAAGTAATCCGGCAAAATGACAATCTTCACATCCTCATCGTACTCAAACTTGTCCTCGTGGATGTCAAACCCGCCTTCGACACCTGGGAGACAGGGAACAAGAATAGTAGGACAACGACCACAGGTGGATGTCCCTTCGCTGACACAGCATTGACTCCGTCCCTTCCAGAGTTCAAGGCCCACTCATCAGGCTCATTCCTTCGGGGCTTTCCCAGTTCAAGACCAGCTCAGGAGAAGAATGAGACCACGGTGGCGCTCACCAATAGCAAGCCGGGTGGGCTTCTTCCGTGGGGGGTCTCCAGTGCCTGCAGTGGCGTCCTCCTCTTTCTGCAACGAGGCAGGAAGGGCAGGATCAGCAATGAGCCCAGGTAAGGGAGAAATGGGGTGAATGGATGGGATGCAATGAGTTAATCTCAGAACAGAATGGAGCTAATACACGTGTGCTGGGTTTTAAGGATACCAACCGAAACAGGTGAGAGGGGAATTGAGGCCTACAGAGGTCAGAACGGAACAGATTCAAAGTGGGGGCCCAGTGGGAAGTGTCAGCATGTCCCCAGGCCCAGCCCACCCCGTCCCTACCGGGCGCCGGGTCCGCCGGAGGTGCAGGTAGACGCGCTGGCCCGTCTTGTTGAAATGTCTCTCCACATACTGTTTCCCGAAACCCAGGAATGTGTTCATGCAAATGTAGAGGCCACCCTCAGACTCCTGCAGGACAAGAAGCAGGGAGGAAACACGGGGGATGAAGCCTGGCCAGGCGGGAAGACGAAGACCCGGGACTCGAAAACTTCTGGTTTCCAAAGAAAGGTTCTGTTCTCTAACAAGGTGCGGCTCTTGGTAAGACATTTACCTACTTAGTACTCAGAACATGGCTAAGGTTCTCCCCATCCTTTGATAACAGCCAACAAGGACACCAGGAGCCGAACACCTATCAGTCACCATTCCTCTTCCTCCTCGTTCCTTCGTTGGAGCCCTCCAATCAACCGCAGAGACCAAATAAAAGGAGACCAAACACCCTAGACTTCCAGGACCAGAAATAACATTCAGAGGGGATCAGGGTCCTTCCTTGGAGAGGCAAGACCTGTATGCCAGACACTGAACCTAAACCAAGGACAACATGACAAACCCCACCTGATCTCCAGGATTAAGAAAACCTACCAACATGCATAACCCATGGACACAGACAACAGGGTAGTGAAGGCCTGGGGTGAGGGTGAGGGGGTCAACAGGAGAAAAAGGGTGACATATGTAATACTTTCAATAATAAAGATTTAAAAAAAAGAAAAAAGAAAGAAAAAAGAAAACCTACCAAACTACCAGACTGGACAAGCAGATTCTTACAGCATATCTAACCCCAGAGCATGCCAGCAAGACCAGATCTTTCTTCCACCACACTCTGCGAGGTAGTAGAACCCGGTCCACAGTGAGTCTTCTCCCTCCTCTCCTGCTGGAGCCTGACTCCAGGGGAACAATGCCTGGGTGCAGCTCACAGCTAACGGTGGACCCAGCCAGGCAGGGATCATGTCCTTCCCCAGCCACCCTGTCACCTCCCCTCTGACCAGTAACTAATTCCTCAATGAAGTCCCATCAACCTCCAACCTCAAAGCCAGCCCCTTTCCAGAACAACCTAGCAACCCTTGCTGAGACAGGTAGAACACATATACCCCAGGCAGAAAACACGGAAAGACAGGTGTCCACTCTTAGCCACGGCTGACGGGAGAGGGATGGGCTTCCCCCACACTGAGCAAGTCTCCCAGGGCCTTTGTGACTCAAGTGATGGAGAAGGAAATTGGGACAACACAGCGTCCTCCCTTAGACCCCCTATATCCAAGGTTTTGAGCAACAGCAGGCATCTTCTTCCTGGAATAAAAGCCCCAGTGGCCTTGAAAAATTCTCTGCTGTCACAGTAAAATTAGGGCATCATCTAAGGCAGTTCTTGATCCCACAGATTGTGTTCCACTCCCTAGAACAGTGTGGATTATAATAGTTGTAAACAAATAGAGCATTTTTCATCAGGCAGGTCACATAAACTCTCATTTTTCCTTTTTTAAAAAAATATTGACTCCCCACAGAGAGGAAGGGAGAGGGATAGAGAGTTCGAAAAATCGATGAGAGAGAAACATCAATCAGCTGCCTCCTGCACACCCCCCACTGGGGATATACCCGCAACCAAGGTACATGCCCTTGACCGGAATCGAACCTGGGACCCTTCAGTCTCCAGGCCAACACTCTATCCATTGAGCCAAACTGGTTTCGGCACGTAAGCTTTCTTTCTACCAGGAACCCAATTTGAAGATAATCAAATGTGGTGGAAGTTCTTCAGCAAAGCAACTCAGCCGCACGAGAGCTCTCCTGGCTTGGGGTGAGAGGAGTAAAGTGTAATAAGATGACCAAAATCCCTTTTGGATTACTCAAACCAGTTACTAGGAGAAAGACAGGAGTTTAAGGAGGAATCCACTGACTTCCACCATCAGTTGGTAATTAAGAAAAACCTTTTCCTCCTGAGAAAGATGGTGGGTGCCTCCAAGCCATGCCTCTGGTAACCGGGGGCATGAGGAAACTGCAGGGATTAAACTCCTCTGTTAGAAATGAAAAATGCTGGTTTCACCAAGGATTGGGAACCCTGGAGCTCTGCTCTGAGCAGTCCTCTTTTAGCTTTAGCTTTACCAAAGCCAGACTGTAGAGAAGCAGCACATTGTTTGAGGTCAAGCTCAAAGCCTAGCAAACCAAGCAAACCACAAATCAGTGGTGATCCTACCCTTGGCTTTAGATCATGCTCCCATAACTCAGCATTGCATTAATGATCCTTTCCACTCTGACTTGCAGTTTTCCTGGCCATGAGCTGGTCTGGCTGAACACCCAGGGCAGGGCCCAGAGGCTTGAGGGGAGGGCTGCTGAGGGGGGCGGATCCCAACCAGGCTGCTGCCCTCTCAGCTCAGGCTCTGCCCGGGCCGGAGCCTCTCTCTGCTGGAGGTTGACACAGAGTGAGAAGTGCAGGAAGGGAGGTACCGGGTGGAGCCTGCATAACGTGAAGCATGGAGTGGGTGGTGGCTTTGTCTAACTAGCCAAGAGTGCCAATGGGATGGGAAAGAGGCCTTAGTATCATGTAAGAAAGAAACCCTCTCCCTAAAAATACTTTGAAAAGGGTCCCCTCTGCTTTCTGTGATGCGCGGGAAAGAGGGGGCCGAGGGAATGGTTCATCTTCAAGAAGAAAACGACTAGAGCTTTCCACCCCTCCCTACCACCAATGACCCACCTCCCCGCCCCCTGTCCATATTAATCACGGGTGGAGGCTCCGTAGCTCGGCCTTTCTCAGAAACGGCCTTCCTCACGGCCACTTCCAGACTACGAGGCGCCTGGGAACCGCAGCATCCACCCTCCAACCTCAACCGTGCCCCAGAACAGTGGGGGTTCGCCCCATCCTTCCTACACGAGACTACAAACCCCGGAGAACCATGCGCGATAGGCAAGGCCAACTCCCAGGCTTTCGCGGGTCTCCACTTGGGAGATGTAGTCCGATGATCGGGTTGCGCCCCTAGCTTAGAACGGCAGAGGGAAGAGAGCGACTACAATCCCCACAGTGCTTCACGAGACGGGGAGCGGCTGAAGTGGGCGCGGTGGCTTCCGGGGGCGGTAGTCACCCGACAGCTCCAGCTAACTAAAAGCTACGGCAGCGAGTAGCCTGGGAGACTACACGTCCCATGGTGCACCGCAAGGAGGCGGTAGCCCAAGCCTTGCAAGGCCCCGGCAGAATGACCAGGGCTATGGAAGGAAGTCGTGCTCGCTGCGGACGTGGGGAATGGGCTTACCGGTGTGTCGAAGGAGAAGGCGCACTCGTCTTTGTGGACCCGGTCTCCAGCCTTAGGGACCCGGATCGTCGGTAATACTGACAGCAGCGCCTCCTCACTCAGCTCCGCCATGACACCGGCAGTAGCTCCTTCACACAGAGCAGCTCCCACCTTTCCTAGTCCCCCTCCCCGTACTCCGGCGGTCCAATGAGCGCTACTCGTTAGGTGCATGCGCTCCAGGGAAGACGCGCGAGAATGGCAGTTGGACGGAGCCTGCCTCCTAGTGCTCCGCCCTCTGCCCTACTCTTGACTAAAGCCAATGAAAAGCGCCTCCAAGGCAATCGATGGCCGAAAGGACCAATCCCCCTCTTCCAGGGCCGGGCAGCGAGGTGGGCCCCGGAGTTTTCGCTGCTCGCAGTCTGGGACTCTGCTACGGTCCCTTCGCTTGCCTCCCATTGAGGAACAGAAACGGACGGTTGTGTAAATCAGAGACTTTCCTGGAGACTTGGTATTTGGAAGGGGTCTGCCTAATGAGGCGGAGTGTAAGCGGGTTAGAGTCTAGTGACTGATGACGCCTCCAGCCTCTACGGATTACTATTTCTCTTGCCTCAAAAAACCCTTCACAACTCTGTCTCCGCCTGCATCTGTACATAGTAATAGCATAATCATTCTACCTCTTTTTCTATTTTTTAAAAATAAAATAACTTGGTTTTGAAGCTGAAGGTCTCAAAAGCAAAGACGGGCACTCCTTAAAGTTCCACGATGGACAATTTGCACCCTAATAGGAACAAAATTCCCCTTTTATCCAGGAGGCGTCACCGCTGGGTGAGCCGAGCCGCTCCCCATTGACCTCGTGGTTCCCATGATAGACGTCCTCTCAGCCCAATGGCTTCCCTCCCTGTGGGCGGGTCTCACAGAGCAGGCCTATAGGAGCCCGTGTCAGCTCAGCCAATAGCGTCACGGCAGGGGGCGTGGCGGGAGGTTTGAAAGTCAGCTTCGGGAACTGAGGCTGCAGCTGTTTGTTGTGCACCCAAGTGGAGTTGGGGCCCGGTAAGTGATTTAAATAAATGAGTGAGCTAGTTAGAGGGTTCTGCAGGCCCGGAAGGAGACGCCTGGTCAGCTGCACCAGCCACCGTGCCCACAGAGGCCTCTGGCCCAGCGGCCAGGGGATTCCTTAGCTGGGATCTGGGAAGATCGGGTGGTCTGGGGTCCCAGGTTGAACACGGTTTCGGTGAGGGCTGAGACCTGAGTCACTTCTCACAGGCATACCCTCCTCGCCCCGGGCCGGGCCCTACCCCACCCTCTTCCTCCGGATTGAGATGGGCTCAGCCAAGAGCGTTCCAGTCACGCCGCCGGCGCGGCCTCCGCCACACAACAAGCTTCTGGCTCGAGTGGCGGACCCGCGTTCACCCAGTGCCGGCATCACGCGCACTCCCATCCAGGTACTCTGGGTCGCGTTATGGGTAGGAAGAGAAACTCCGCATTCTTTGGCCTCTGCCTAATCTGATTTTAAGAGAGCCACCACTCCCTACCTCTACATTCCCCGGAATGTCGGAAGGCCTTGGCAGTTCCTGCCTGAAACATTGGCCTAAGCCTGGAAACCTGGGAGGGAAGAAGAGTCAGGGCCCATACTTTAATGGCCTTTGGTCTTGACAGGTGGAAAGCTCTCCACAGCCCAACCTAGCATCCGGGAAACAGCTGGAGGATCCCAACCAGGCCGAGGACTCAGATCCCCGCTCTCCTACCCTTGGCATCGCGCGGACGCCTATGAAGACCAGCAGCGGAGGTGAGTGTTGGGCCCAGGGAATTCTGATGAGGTTTTCAGCTGGCATTCTTGGATCAATGAAGCCATCCTCTCAGGGCTCCTTCTTAAAGGAGCCTCTATCCTCCTCCTGTGAACCCATCTCACTCTTTTCTCAACATTTTGCTCTCTCTCACCTTGATTTCCCTCTTAATTTCTCTCCCATCATGGTTCCTAAGGCTTTTATTTTTTTCTTCTTCTGTGCTGAACAATTTGTATCAGGGAGTCCCTATCTCACTTCACGTCTCTCCCCTAGACCTCACAACCCCACTGGTGAAAGAGCTGAGTGAAGAATTTGAGGCGGAAACCCCCAAGTCAAATCTTCCCCCAGAGCCTGTTCTAGAGGTACCTTCCTCTTCTGATGTGGACTTGCCTCTGGGCACCCAGTGTTCCCTTGAGGACCAGATGCCTCATGGGAGACAGACTGAGCTCCCCTCCAAGCAGGTGTTTTCCGAGGAAGAAACAGGACAGCCCTCAGAAACCCTTATGACCAGCCAGGGCTCAGACAAGCCCACGAAAGACCCTGAGACGCCTAGATCTTCAGGTAAAGAACCTAAGGGCAAGTATAAGGAAGAGAAGTTGGAATGATGTCCTGATGTCTACAGATAGTTTAGGAGGAATGAACTGTAAGCCCCTAATTTTGGCTCCTTTCTTGAACTCTTTACCCACCCTAGGTTCTAAGCGAAATAGACGGAAACCACAGGGCAAGGCACTAGGGAGATCTCCCCTCACCATCCTGCAGGATGACAACTCCCCTGGGACTCTGACACTACGCCAGGTAAAGGGAGAGGGTAAGGGCTGTTCCTAGGATGTCCAACATAGAGGTGGGAGGCTGTTTACCCTATCTTCCCTCTTCCCTCTCCCTCCCTCCCCCAACTTGCATACTGCCTTTTGTAGGGTAAGCGGCCTTCTTCCCTGAGTGAAAACGTCAGGGAACTAAAGGAAGGGGCCATTCTGGGAACTGGACGACTTCTGAGAAGCGGAGGACAAGCGTGGGAGCAAGGTCAGGACCATGACAAGGAAAACCAGCACTTTGCCTTGGTAGAGAACTAGGCCAGGGGTGGCCCCAGCCCTGGGTTCACCAGGGTCTAGCGATATTCCGAGTCCTCGGCCTCTTCTTTCCCTGGGAGACTGGAAAGATTCATGTCCTTCGACTCCCCCTAAACTACCAGCTCTGGAACGAATAGCTTTCTTGGGCTTTCTTTGTGTATAATGTGTTTCTTGTAAATTAAAGGAAGTGGTTTTAAGTTATGCTGCTAGCTGTTATACTTAAACCTTGCACTGGGTCGTCTTCGTGTAGAAAGGCAGCCTGGGGAGCTTGGGTTCCTGGTCTGAGTGCCCTGCACCGGTACCTCCAGTCTCCTCAACGCACCTCCCTTAAATTCTGGTGTTCACTAGGATTCTGTCCTAGGCTCTTTCCTCTCCATCTTCATTTCTAAGGATTAACTACTACTTACCTCTATTCTGATTACTTCCGTCTCTCTGTCCAACCCTGACCTTATCCATCTGCCCCATAGGCACTCCAAAATCAGTTTGTCTTAAAATTGAATTTGTGATCTTTCCCCAAAAAGATATTTCTCTTTCCCTCGTTTAAAAACAAAGAAACAAAAAACCCTAACAAACATTTTTATTGATTTCAGGGAGGAAGGGAACGGGAGAGATAAAAACATCAATGATAAGAGAATCATTGATTGGCTGCCTCCTGCGCCCCCTACTGGGGATTGAGTGCAATCCTGGCATATACCCGGACCAGGAATCGGACCATGACATGGTTCATAGCTCTGTGCTCAACAACTAAGCCATATGGGCTCAGCTTCTTAAAACATTTAAAAAAAAAAAAGTCTTAATTGATTTTAGAGAGGAAGGGAGAGAGCAAAAAACATCAATTAGTCGCCTCTTGCACATGCCTGACAGCATGTTCCCCATCAGGACCAGGGATCAAACCAGCAACCTGGGTATGTGCAGGGGAATTGGGCAGGGGAAAGGGCAGCTGAGTGTCTTCATGGCCTTTTACTTCCCCTTCTCAAGCCTCCTCATACCCGCCACCTTTTGGTGTATGGGACTACGCTCCAAGCAACTGAGCCACACCAGCCAGGGCGTGGCTTTCCCTCTTAATATCTCATATCCAAGCACTTGGTCACTAAATCCTGGTGATTCTGTATCTTGAATTTCTTTCCCATCCCTTTTCTTGTGCCTCCTGTCCTATTGCTCTTGCAATTTCTTGCCACCTGACTCCTACTATTGCCTTTATTCCCTCCTGTCTCTCCTCCTTCCATTTCATCAACCTACACTTGCTGCTTGGTTCATCTTTCTGAGAAGCCTAGCTGATCACATTATTACTCTGCTCAAAGCTCTTCAATGGTTTTCCATTGGCCTTAGGGTAAAGTCTAGATTAGCTTTACATTCAAAGCCTTTTATAATCTGACTAGAGGCCCAGTACACAACATTTGTGTGTCCCTCAGCCTAGCCTGTGCCCTCGGGGTTTAGGCAATCAGGCCTAAACCGGCAGTCAGACATCCCTCTTGAAATCTGGGATGCTGCGTGCACCAATGACCATACTTTTTATACAGGTGAAAGGTATCTTGCTGTTGTATGGGCAGCTACATTTTTTTTGCCCTGATTATAAAAAGTAGCACATAGCATGATCCTTCTGAGGCAGTAGTACCCTTTTCCCCATCTTATGGGTGGAAAAACTGAAGCAGAGAAAAGTACTTGGCTTTGTCACACAGTTATAAGTGTCGGAATCAGGGCTGACCACAAAATGTGCAAGCCAGAGTCCATGCATGTTGTTGCTGCATCATCCTGTTTTTTCAGTGTTAGAGAAGCCTTTCCAGGTTTTTTTGTTTGTTTGTTTGTTTGTTTTTTAATATATTTTATTGATTTTTCACAGAGAGGAGGAGAGAGGGATAGAGAGCTAGAAACATCGATGAGAGAGAAACATCGACCAGCTGCCTCTTGCACACCCCCTACTGGAGATGTGCCCGCAACCAATGTACATGCCCTTGACCGGAATCGAACCTGGGACATTTCAGTCTGCAGAAATTTCTCTCTACCACTGAGCCAAACCGGTTTCGGCCCTTTCCAGGTTTTAATTTTTAAATCTAAGAGATTGTTCTCAATATATAAGGTAGGATCCGTAGGCCTGGCTGGTGAACAGGGCTGATCTGTGGGGCAAACCGTGGGCAGGGTGATTGGGCTACCCACACACACACTGGCACCCACCTTGGTTGGTGGCCTGGCGTTGCCCACTGGCCTCCGATTGCCTCCCTCTGTGTGTGTGTGGGGGAGGGGTACACGCTCAACGCAGGAGCTGCCCCCAAGTCCCCTGGTGGTTATTGTGCATTATAGCAACAGGTCATTCCACTGTTTGGGCGATTAGCATATTAGGGTTTTATTTTATAGGACTAGAGGCCTGGTGCAAGAAATTTGTGCACTGGGCGGAGGGTTCCCCAGCCTGGCTTGTGCCCTCTCACAGTGCAGGAGCCCCACAGTCAATTGCCCCAAAGAGGTAGGCCCCGCCCACCCATCCAGGTCTCCTCAATGGATTGCCCCAAAGAGGTAGGCTGGAGCCAGGGATCCCGGGACCCCCAGGCCTGGCCATGCGGAGTGGCCGCTGGATCCTGCCTCCGCGTCACTCACACTGCGTCAAATCCCCACCCACCCACATGCGCCCGCAGCACACACAGCCTCCTGGTGATGGATTGTGGGATTGTGACAGCATGAGAGCATCACAGTGTGAGGGAGTGACAACCACTTAGGTTATTATTAGTATAGTCTCTTTCTCAACCTAATCCTCCTATACAAACACACATGTCCGCACCACGGGCAGGCTATGGTAACTGCTGTGCACGCACACCCAAGCCACCTCGTGAATACCTTCTCTCCTAATCCACCTCCAGCCTTTCCCTCTACCCTACTTTTCTATCCACAAGCTATCTGGTACCCAACCTTTATCACTTGTACCTATAATATTTTATTACTTAAATGGGAACTGAATCTTTTTAAAACAGAAGTAGGGTGGAAACCAAACATCACAGGGTGCTATACTTTATTGCAGGTGATTTGAAGAGGGGGCGGGGGAAGGTAGGCAAAGGGGAAAGCATGAAGGAGAAGGGGGCCAGGACCCTGGTGGTGCCAGAGTCATAGTCACGGGGCCGAGCGCCCTGGCCAGGTCTTTACCCCGGACAAAGGTAGTAGCCTGGAGGAGAAGTCCTCAGGCCTGGAGCCTCCTACTGACGCCTGCTGGGCTGCCCAGAGCTGGGGAGGGGTCTGCTGTCCTTACTTATTAAAGGAGAAACTATGAGGACCACAGAGAGGGAAGACCACGGGAGGAGATGGGATGGTGCTCTGCCCAGCTCGGATGCTGCCTCCCAGAGGCACACCCTGTGTTCCCCTCGGGTCTCGAGGGGAGAAAGCTTGTGGGAACGGCAGCAGGGGGATAGAAGAGAAAGCCTTTAAGGAACCTTGAAGAAAGTGAGCCGAGCAAGGGGCAGCTGAGTGTCTTCACGGCCTTTTACCTCCCCTCCTCCAGCCTTCTCAGTTCCAGATTTTCAGGAAGCTGTCCCAGGAGCCGGTGGCCACCGCCATCCCGTCAGCTGTGACCCCCAGGCAGCTGACCCTGTTGTCATGCCCAGAGAGGATGCCTGAGGAGAAGGGCGAGGAGTCAGCGGGTCTGCACATGCCGTTTTGGCGGGGCGTGTGTGTGTGCCAAATCAGCGTGTGCAGCCGATCTGACATTTCCTCATGTCAGGAATCCCAGGTCAGGTGGGCTGGGCTCCGACTTCAGCCCCCCTGGTGGAGACGGGAAGACCCAAAGAGGATTAGCCCTAAGCAGTGCGGCTTCTCTTGAGGCCAGTCTCTGCCAAGAGCCCGGGGTGAGGAGGGGCAGGGAGAGATGGCAAAGGGCCGGCAGTGTCCCTGTGCTATGGGAAAAGAAAGGGGCATTTGACGGGCGCTGGAAACCGGGGGAAGGAACCCTTTTGTGCAGTTTCTTTGTTTCCAAACCAAGAGACGGAGGCCTAGAGGGAAGTGACTTGCCAAAGGGCACTCGGAAAATAAGCCACAGAATTGGGATTCGGACCCTGACTCTCTGGCCAGTGTTATTTTCATGGAGCACCTGATGTGTCTGAAGGGAAGAAGCCACACTGACTCGGCTGCAGACCAGGCTGGTCCCATAAGCCCCTCGCTTGGGGTCAGGGCCCTCAGGCCACTCCAGACTAGGGGTGTCGAACTCAATCAGAGAAGGGGCCAAAATCTAAAATCCAGCCTAAATCGCGGGCCGAATGGTTTACTGAACAGTCATAAACTGTCATTGTGATGGAAACGCAGCGGAGTGCAGTGATGACAGCGCGGTGCGGGCCACATAGCAAGGCCTGGCGGGACGGATTTGGCCCGCGGGCCTTGTGTTTGACACATGTGCTCTAGACCTTGATCCTGTTCATCGCATCGTCCCCCGAGGCCGCCCTTTCCTGGCAGTGTGGCCGCCCCTGAAACCCGACCTGACGGGACACTCAGGTCCTCAGGGCTGGGCACAACCTGAAGGAGCCGCGGTGGGGCAAGCTCTTAGAGCAACTTTGCTTTCGGAGAAGACGATCCTACGTTGGGAACCGAAGGGACTCAATTCTGGGGGCAGAGCTCAGCGTTATCTAACGACCAGGGAACAGCAGTACCTTCCCAACGAGGGGAGCCGGCGGGAGGGGGACCCTTACCCACACGCTCGCCCTTCATGGAGTCCCAGACGTTGCAGTTGAAGTCGTCGTAGCCCGCGAAGAGCAGGCGGCCGCTGAGGGAGAAGGCCACGGACGTGATGCCGCAGATGATGCTCTCGTGGGAGTAGACCGTCAGCTCCTGGTCTGCCCGCAGGTCAAACAGGCGGCAGGAGGCGTCGTCTGAGCCGGTGCAGATGGCCTCGCCACTGGGGAAGAACTGAGGGCACAGGTGGCAATGGGGTCAGGTGCTGCTGCCTCTCCTGCCTTCTCCCTGGCTCCTGCCTCCCTCAGCCTCCCTGGATGTCCCTCCCCTGGCCTTCAGCGAGCAAGGCCGTGGCATTGCTCTTCATGCCTGCTGGTGGCTCCCCCGCACCCTGCACTGGCTCCTCTTGACACACTGGCATTATTCCCATGAGGCCGAGGGAGCGCCTGCAGCCTGCCCAGGATCACAGGGCTGGAAGGGGCGGGGGGAGGGGGAGGAGGCTGTCTCTGTCTCTTCCCACTACACTCGGCGGATCAGAGTGCAGGAGCAGGGCCAAGTACAAATGCATAACCTGAATCTCATCATGAGGAAATGTCAGACCGACTCACTCAGAGGGGAAGGCTACAGAAAACTGGTTTGTACTGTACTCTTATTTCAAATGTCACTGCCATACAAGACAAAGGTAGGAAAACAGTTCCAGTTTAAAGGAAACCAAGATGTGGCAAGAAAATGCAATACGTGTTTCTGGCAGGGGAAAAAAACCCCACTGCGGTGAGGGATATTTTCTGAGACAATTGGAGAGAGGTGACTACAGACTGCAGACTATATTACTGTGTCTACATTAGTGTTAAATGTCCTGACTTAAAGAACTATACTGTAGCTGTGTAAGAGAATAGCCTGGTTGAAGTATATAATGGGTAAAGAGGTATGATGTCTGCAACTAACTCTAAAAAACAAAACAAGGGAAGTCCTGGCTGGTTTGGCTCAGTGGACAGAGCGTCAGCCTATGGACCGAGGGTCCTGGATTTGACTCCGGTCAAGGGCACGTACCTTAGTTGTAGGCTCCTCCCTGGACCGGGCCCTGTGCAGGAGGCAACCAATCGATGTGTTTCTCTCACATAGATATTTCTGTCTTTCCCTCTCCCACTCTCTCTAAAAAGATCAATGGAAACATATCCTTGGGTGAGGATTAACGACAACAAAAAAACACAACACCATGTATATCCACGTTGGGATGTACGCATGTGTGTGTCTAGCTAGCTGTCAGTCATTTATCCATCCATTCCTCCATCCCTTCCTCTACAGCGAAGAATAAAACAAGTGTGGTAATCTGTTAACCGTGAGTATGGGAGCTCTTTTTGTTATAACTTTTCTGTAAGGTGAAATGATTTAGAAGTGGACAGTTAGAAAGCAGGGGTGGGGCGGTGGTCCCAGGAGCCGGCGCACAGAGGGGGCTCACACAGATGGCGTTGATGTCCGACTCGTGGCCAGTGAACGTCTGCCGGCAGGTCCCCTCCCGCACGTCCCAGAGCTTGGCGCTGGCGTCGCAGGCCCCCGAAACGAAGAGCTTGAAGTCGGGAGACACAGCCAGGCTCATGCAGTCCCCTGTGTGTCCCACAAACACAGTCTTCTGCTGCCCGGTCTCAATATCCCACAGAGCGCTGCAGGGAGGAGGGTGGGGGGAGGGAGGCTGTCACCGAGAAAGGCCAGGCCCGAGCTGCCTCCCAGCCCCGCACCCAGGGCCAGTCCTCACCACGTGGTGTCCCCGGAGCTGGTCACGATGCTGTTGTCGTCCAGGAAGCGGCAGCAGGAGAGATAACCTGGGGGAGGTTAGGACAGGGCCCTGGCTGCAGGGCCACGGCCCGCCAGCCAGCCAGCCATAATCCCTCAGGGTGGGACAGAGGAAAGCTCTCACCTGTATGGCCAGAGAGTTCCCGGCTGACCTTGACATTGCCCTCACGGGATTTGAGGCTGTAGATGGAACACATGTTGTCCAGCCCCCCACATGCCACAAAGTTCCCCGATGGGGCATAGGCACAGGTCATGACCCAGGAGGAGCGCAGAGGAATGGCGTGGACCTGTGGGAGGGCAAGGGGAGCAGATGCAGGGCCTGGGCTGAGCTCCCGGGTGGAGAGAGCAGAGGCGGGTAGGCATAGTGTCCCCAAGAAAGGACGGAACGATGGAGGGCGGGAGGCGGGGCTGGTACCTTATTGGTGGTGTAGGTGTCCCACACGATCAGCTTCCCGTCTTGCGAGGCGCTGACTAGCAACCTGGGGAGAGGGCGCTCCGTGTCACCCAAGCCTGTCCTTCCTGCCTCCCCTACCCTCCGGCACCTCTCGGGTCTCACTTGGAGTCCGTGGCCCAGTGCATGGCATAGATCTTGGCCAGGTGTCCCCTTAGCGTACGTCTCGTCCGCATCTGGACTCGTCCCACGACTTCTAGGCCAGACACAAGCTGCAGAAAAGGGGGGCACAGGAAACCAGGGTGAGCCGAAACCGGTTTGGCTCAGTGGATAGAGCGTCAGCCTGCAGACTGAAGGGTCCCAGGTTCGATTCCAGTCCAGGGCATGTACCTTGGTCGCGGGCACATCCCCAGTGGGGGGTGTGCAGGAGGCAGCTGATCAATGTTTCTCTTTCTATCGATGTTTCTAGCTCTCTATCCCTTTCCCTTCCTCTCTGTAAAAAATCAATTTAAAAATTTTATTAAAAAGAAAAACCAGGGTGAGCAGGGTCCTTGACCAGATGTCTGTGCCACAGCCACCAATCTGTGTGGGGTTGGGGGTCAGGCCCAGCCTTAGGGAAGTAAGTCCCCGCTGTGGAGTGGCTTAGGCTGATGACAGACCACCAGTGGCATGTTGCTAAGTGTTTAACAAGTCCCTCTCCAGTGCGGGGTGAGGAGGGCGAGGCGAGGAGGGAGGGTAAATTCTATCCTGTAATTCTCCCGCCTTGACCAATTTCAAAATGTGAAGCCACGGAACACGTATGTAGGAAGATACTGGTGCCCACACACACACCGCCGTAGCACAGCCACCTCTGTAACTGGGTGCCCAGGTATCACCCTGACCTTGAACTGCGGCTTCTGACATGTGCGGCCCTGGGCCCCTTAAGTTTCTCCAGCTTCTGGTCTTGGCCTGGGGCTCCCGGGCCAATAGATTGGACTCGCCATTTCCCTGCTTTAGTATCTTGATCAAATTACTTGACCTCTCCGGGCCTGTCTCCTCATCTGTCAGTGAATGTCTATCGCACCTACCTTGTGGGATTGTTGTGAAAATGGAGTCAGGGATTGAAGCAGCTTAGCTCAGTGTCTGGCTCAGGGTAAGTGTTCAGTAAATACTTACTAAGATATTTAATCCTATCTACGGTGCAAATAACGCTAGGAAGCACCTTGCTTTTATGCATCCCTGAGAAAGAAAAAAAACGCTGCTCATTTCCATGGTAAGGCACCATCTCGTGTTGGATGCATCTTGATTTCAAAAGTGTAAAGATGTGGGAAAGGGTGCGTCTTAGAATTGATGAAGTGCAGGATCAGACAACTAGTAACGCAGCCTATAAGGGTGCGTGGCTTACAACGTGCTGTCCCTCCCTTCACCCTCACCCCCCTGCGGTGTGAGCGGGTGTGATCACCTCTGTTTTATGGATGACGGGATGACAGCAGGGCAGTGTCCTGTCTTTAGTCTCCAATCCGGCCCTTGCCCAGAGCAGACCTCGCTCCCTGTTTGTTGGCTGAACTAATTAGTGTTATTCCTCATCCCCAGGACTTGGGCTGGTCAGGGAGCTCCCCTCCCCTCAGGCCCTGCTCAGGGGACAGGAGTCTCACCTCTGCCAGAGTGATGTCAGCGCAGGCCTTCCTGGCATCCTGAGGGGAAGCAGACATTAGGGAGGGGCAGGGAGGGGGGTGCCTGGGCCTCTGAGCTAGGTAGGCTTGGGGATCTACAGTTTGGACACTTCTCAGATATGAGATGCAGAAAGTCTCCGGTGACTTCCAGGTCAGGGGTCTCTAAGGCATGAGCCACTCAGGAGGGAATCCACCTCCTTCCCCCCAGGCCACACTCCCTCAGGTCCCCATTTCTACGTCCTCGGGGGTCCCCGGTGGGCGGGTAGGAGCTGGAGTTACTGCAATCTGCTTCTTGAGCTGTTCCGCTTCCTGCCGCAGCTGCTCCATCTCCCCCATGGCGGACAGGTTGAGAGGTCGCTCCGGCTCCTGCCAGGAACATGCGGTGGGTAGAGGGGATCCCTCTGCCTCGTACCCCACACCAGACTCAAGAGGGCTGGAGGCCACTCTGGGAAATAGGGAGCTGGCAGGTGGCCTCCACCCCCTCCTCAGGGAGCCCCTCCATGTCTGGAGTCCTGTGCAGCCAGCCCTGCCCTGCCCGCCTTCCCCACAGCCCCGGGCCCAGGGGCAGAGCCAGGCCGGCTCCCTCTTACTTGGGCTGTGACTGGGCCTCTCCCAGGCTCCCAGCTCCGGCTCCCAGCGCCTCCGCACTCCCTCGGCCGCAGCCGGCCGTCACCTGCCCTGCTCCGCTGCCAGAGGAGCTGGCCTGGCCTGGCCCCGCTCTGGGGAGGGGGGTGTGGGCGCGGACAGGGGAGAGGAGGGCCCACAACCACGTCAGGCAAATTAAATCAGCTGGCAGGGGTGGGGAGGAGGACAGGAGGTGTGTGGCTTCCAGAGCCTCAGGCCCAGCCTGGGGGAGGGGAGGAGCAGGAGTGCTGGGCTATGGAGGAGCAGCCCCCCACAACAAGCCCTGGGGGAGATGTGTGTGTGGGGGGGGGATGCTTCCCGATCGGTCTCTCTGCAGGCAGAGAGAAGAGCATTAGGTCCCACGGGATTAGAGCAAAGCTGTGAGGATTAAAGGTTGACGTTTGGGAGTGTGCACAGGGGCAGTAGCCACCACAGCTCCGGCAGCCCCTACCCCCCTCCCGCCCAGGCCCGGCCCCACCAATGTGATGATCTTGGCCGTCAGGACATGCCTAGCACCCAGCCCCAGAGCCAGAATTCAAGGGTCAGAGAGGACCCATGGCCAATGCCCAAAACTGTTCCTTAGCTTCGGTGGGGGGGGGGAGAGGTTTCTGGTGACCATGGGGAGGGCTGGGATTAGAAGGGACTGATCTGGATAATCCTTCTTCCAGACAAACCCCAACCAGCTGCCCCAGGATCCCGTTCTGGGGGATGGGGGCGGGGGGAGGGGACAGGGATTCAGGAAGAGGGATGGACAGGCCGGCCCCTGCTCCGGGTGCATAAAAGGATCGCAAGCAGAGGGCAGCCCCCCTCCCCTGCTCCTGTCTGGGGTTTGGCCCCCTCCTTGCCCCCATGACTCACAAAGTCCTGCTGGGCTGGGAAAGCAAGAGTCTTAGGGATCAAGCTGCCCTAAGTCTCGGCCACGCTCGGAGGGAAGACAGGTCTTAGCGTCGGAGGCCCAAGGAGCAGCTGTCGGGGTTTGGGTGTATTTGCATGAGGGCAGCAGGTGGCTGAGATTTCCCTGACAAATCACAGGCCCCAGCGGCCCCGCCTCCGGAGACACCTGTCTCCTCCCAGGCCAGCCAGCGCCGCTCCCTCCTCCAGCCTCCAGCCGCCACAGACTCTGATAGGAATGACGGTCCGGCCAGGATCTCCACGTTCTTTATTGACAGGCTGGGATGGGGCAGGGGGCTTACTCTCCCCGCTCAGCCTCCTCCTTTGAAGCAGCCAGGCCCTGCCCTGGCCATTTCTTTCCAGGGAGGCATCTGCCCTCGGTCTGTCCTGGGGCTGCAGGCCCATCCACTGGGGCCAGGCCTGACTCCTCAGACCCGGCGAGTTCTAGGCTGGTCTGTGCAGCGTCCGCTGAGCCCAGGGCTGGATGGCCCTTGTGATCCCCAAGGCAGTGGGGGTGCAGGGACAGGGAGCTCGCTGTGCTGCTCCGGTCACAGTCACAGGGGCCTTCGTGTGGGTACGGCACCGAGGCAGCCCTTCAGGAGTCATGTAGGGGCTAGCTCAGCCCCTCACAGCTCCTCTCGGACCCGAGGCAGCTTCCCAGTCTTGTCCTGGCCCCGCGGAGGCCTGCGGCCGGGGGGTTCTGGAGCAGGGTCTCTGCTGGGCATGTCTTCCTCCTCATCATCACCCTCCTCCTCCACCTCCTCCTCCTCCTTCTCTCCCGGCTCCTGAAGCAGCTCCTTGGCTTCTGTCCACTCCTGACAGGGAGGCGGGAGGAGAGTCGGGCCCAATCCCGGCATCCACCCTCCCCAAGGACCCTCCCCGGGTCATGCCAGCCCCTGCCCCTCACCCAGCAACCGGCCCAGGCTTCACACACCTGCTCCCTGTGCTCGGGCGCCCACGTGTGCCACAGCGCCAGGGCGCAGCGCCGGCCCCGGGTCACGGCCCACACCCCGTGGGGGTTCTCCCCGCCGGAGCTGAAGGCCACGAGGCGTCCGCAGCGAGGTCGGACCTGCGCCTGGGGGGTGAGGGCAGGCTCAGCTCCAGGGGCGGGCCCTCGGAGCTCGAGGCCCTGGCTCCTGGACTAGGACAGGGAGGCGGCGGGCATGGAGAGACCAGTTCTCTGGCCCATCACTCACTCCTCAGTTCTGGGGCTGTCTGGCGGCCAAGGGGAGACTGGCCTCCCCTCGGGGAGCACCCATGCTGGACAGGCTAAAGGAGCTGGAGCCAAAGGCAGGAGGGGTCTCCATCCAGTGCCTCCCGAGGGTCCCCTCCCTCTTGCCCTGACACTCGTTCAACTGTGTGTGAAGTAGTCTGCAGCATGAGGCAGGACCAGGCTCCGGGCGCTGGGCATGAGGATCTTGGGGACCATCTCACCCCACGGAGGGCGTGGGCTGTAGGTGCTGTTGGTGGTCAGCAGGCAAGGAAGGAAGGCAGAGAGCTCCCGGTGATGAGGAATCACTGTCCCTCTCCTCTGCCTATTCCCAGACCCTAGTTTCTACCTGGCACAGGGACGTTGGGTCCTGTGCTCAGCACCCTTCCTTAGGAGGTGAGGCAAACACGAAGGCAAGTCTGCAGGGGTCACGTGATCTCCTGTGGGGGGCGGGGACGGAGTGGGGGGGGCTGTTCGACCGCTGCTGGAGAGCCCTGAACAGAGACGTGGTGGGAAGAGCTGGGAGGCCAGGAGAGGGATCAGGTGGCCCCCGCCATTTCCCTGCATTTGCCTCTGGGATCCTTCTGTTTTGAATCCTGAGCCCACAGCTGTGCTCCCTGCCCCAAACCCTCCCCCTCACCTCCCTTACCCTGACGGTGAGGGCGTTGGGCTCTGTGAAGAACAGGTCCCCGCCCTGGAAGTCATCGTTGAGGTAGAGGAGTCCACTGGAGGGGGAAGACAGGAGGCGGTGAGGTCCCAGCCCGGCGACCCTGCCTGGCGCCCCTGCCTGGCGCCCCTGCCCGGCGCCCCTGCCCGGCGCCCCTGCCCGGCGCCCCTGCCCGGCGCCCCTGCCCGGCGCCCCTGCCGGCCCCGGGAGGGCTGCCCACCTGTAGTCCCGGTACGTGTAGGCGGGGGGCTCCCGCCAGCACTCGCCCGTGTCGGGGTCCAGAACGCAGTTGTCGGCATGCACGGGGTGACTCAGGTCCATGCGCTGCTCCTGCTCCCCTGGGGAGCACAGGGGCCTGGTGAACGCCTCTGCGCCCTGCAGCCTGGGCCCACCCACCACCATCCACACCCCCCGCGGCCTGGGCCCACCCACCACCTTCCACACCCCCCGCGGCCTGGGCCCACCCACCACCATCCACACCCCCCGCGGCCTGGGCCCACCCACCACCATCCACCCCCCACCCCACCCCCCCCCCGCGGCCTGGGCCCACCCACCACCATCCACACCCCCCCCGCGGCCTGGGCCCACCCACCACCACCCACACCCCCCCCCCCCCCCCCCGCGGCCTGGGCCCACCCACCACCATCCACACCCCCCGCGGCCTGGGCCCACCCACCACCATCCACACCCCCCGCGGCCTGGGCCCACCCACCACCATCCACACCCCCGTGGTGTGGGGGTCCCCGCTGAGCTGAGAGGCCAGGCCTTAGGAGGGACGATGAACCCACACCGTCAGGGGGTGCTGAGGCTCTGCAGCCCCCACAGGCCCCGGAGGTCAGGCCAGGGAGGCACAGTGGGGCACGGCAATCACCTTTGATGGCCGTGCGGCACACCAGGTGCGTGAAGGAGAGGTGCAGCGGCCGCTCCGGGGAGAAGTAGGCCTGCGTCAGGGTCCGCACACGCTCGCTCGCTTCCAGGAGCAGCTTGGCACCCTGGGTGCTCACAGCGCCGGCCCGGGCCAGCTGTGGGCGGGGGGAGGGAGGGCACGAAGGAGGGAGGCGACGGGAAGGTGAGTGTGGAGTCTCTCCGTGTCCAGCTCTGTCCATCAGCCCCAGCTGCTCCTTCCAGTGGCTCCATGACAACCCCTCCTGGATCCCCGGGAGAAGCCCCTCCATGGGAGAAGCCCAGGCCCTGGCGCCAGCCTCCCGGCGCCCTCTTTCCCAGACCTGAGCATCAGGCGAGGACATGGATCCCTCCCCGCTCACCTGTGCCGCCTTCAGCACCGTGAGCCCCTCGAAGTGCTCGTGGGCGGTGTGAGGGGATCGGCGGCCCCGGTAGCCAGACCTGGCTCCGGCCTCGGCTGCGTCCTAAAGAGGGAGAGTTGGCTGTGGGTCACCGTCCGGCCCCGGACTTTTTCCTGCCTCACTGCCCACGGACTACAAGACTTTCTCTCCAGCCCTCCTGCTCCCAGAGGTCTCTGGAAGACACTGGAAGCTCCCAGAGGTCTCTGGAAGACGCTGGAAGCTCCCAGAGGTCTCTGGAAGACGCTGGAAGCTCCCAGAGGTCTCTGGAAGACGCTGGAAGCTCCCAGAGGTCTCTGGAAGACGCTGGAAGCTCCCAGAGGTCTCTGGAAGACGCTGGAAGCTCCCAGAGGTCTCTGGTGGCTCCTTTGCCGGAGCTGCGGCCTTCCCCGGGGAGTGGCATGCCTTCCCCTCTGTATCCTCGCTCCCTGCTAAAGACCTGGCGGCTCACTGGCGGGGGGCTGTGCACAGAACTCCGGAGAGCGCCTGAGAGGGCAAGGACGGCTGGGAAAGGGGTGCAGGAAGGGTGATCACCCCCTGGGGGGCTAAGGACAGAGGAGCCAGAACTCCCGGCAGGAAGCTCGGCGGCCAGGCCAGGTCCAGGCGAGGCACCGCTCTCTGACCTCTCTCCACTTGACACGCTGTTGGAGAACATGTGAACCCTTGACCTGAACCCCCACATTGTGTGTGGGGTCTCCTGGTATTTGGCTGTCCTTTCCTGGCACCTATTCTCCTGCCTGCTTTGTGAAACTCAGTTAAAATACCATCACCTAAAAAAAAAAAAGTTGAAACCAGTCTGGCTCAGAGGAATAGAGCGTCGGCCTGCGGACTGAAGGGTCCCAGGTTCGATTCTGGTCAAGGGCATGTACCTTGGTTGCTTCTAACTCTCTATCCCTCTCCCTTCCTCTCTGTAA